ACCTCTTATACCCATGAAGATGTTAGTCTGGAATTTAACTCACTTTAGCAAGTTTTTTAATGAAAAATTCCCATCTTTCTTTCTCCTGCAGCTATCGAACACCATTCCGCAAAACTTTCTAAAGAAGTTTGTCTGTTTTTCTTGGTGGCATTTCTGAGCTTTATATTTGAAGGTGGGGCACAGTACCACTGCTGTTGTTGCTGTTTTCTGTTACGCAACTTCTATCATTTTGAAGCCTCCCAGAAAACCTTAAGGGAGGAATTCCCTCATGATGTCTTTCCTTGAGATTTCACTGAAGCATGGAAAGGCAAGGAGCTGCATCTTGCAGGAGACAAAATGGCACAATGAAAGATACACACTTCTAACTAAACAAGATTAAGATCAGCACATTCCATCCATGAGTATTTTATTGAAATTCTCTTCTCTTTATAGTCTTCTCAGCTTCTCTTTTGATAAGACACTGAAATATACTTTGTGGATTCTTCTAGAAGAATGACTGTGTTTTTTAAATATAAAATTAAATAGCATTCTATGGAGTTTTTTACAAATGCAAATCTTGAATAAGTTAATTGCTTGAAGTTACATCCAAGATTAACTTGCATAGATTAAGGCCTTCTCCCCTCTCCCCCCCCAAGATTCAAGTCCATTTGAAATTTCATGGCTGGCCTTGCATTAGTTTCCCTCAGCTGGACTTACCTGACACTTACAGAATAAATTCCCCAAGAAGTGTTATCATACCTCTAGGTATTTCCTAAGCATGCTTTCACTACTAGTATATTCTAACATCAACAACTTGATCTGAAGATTTTCTGTTGTCTTTCTACTTTGTCTTGTATTTAATTTGTGTGTGTTTGTTTTCGTTTTTTTAATGATGGGTACGCTAACACAAAATCCAATATCGCAAAAGATGATATACCAACTTTTTATCAGTGTCTTGAATTCTTATAGGAAAGACAAGCGATTGAATTTCATAGTAGTATGCAACGCAGAAAAAATTAAACTATTACTTTTGTCAGCTCACCTGCAATCACTGGTTCAATAAGCCATGATCCTAAAGTGTTCAATTTTATCCATCTTTTGATACATAGGAATAAGGGATCACATTAGAAATTAAAGAGTAGCATCTTCAACAGTCCTCCTTTTTTAGGCACTAACATTCAAAGAATTCTTGCAGGACCTCATTTTCACCTACCACATCCAGAAGAGCACAAAAGAAGAGTTTCCATACTCTCAAAAATTAAAAAAAAAAAAAAAAGCCCTAGTCCAACCAGCCACAAAACGTTAAGTCAAATATGTTAAAAACAAACCGTCCTACTGTCTCTTTCTTGCAGGAAAAGCATACCTGATTACCTCTCAAATAATTCAATATATTGCAAGTGTGCTCTTGGATCAATTTGAGTTTTTGCTCCAAGAGATCCTATCCCAGTTTTAGGAGAAAAGATTTCCTAATTTCCTGTTTACAAGCAGGCAGGCTGTAGCAAGTTATTTCTCTTCTTTTCTCATTTTAAGGACCGTTATCCTCAGATTCACTGTATTTTCCAACTCACGTGCAGTTGAGAATGCAACAAAGGTTACTTATCTTACTAGAGGCCTTCTTCATGTTTACAGTAGATACAGTTCATCAATGTTTCTCAACTGTGGCAACTTTCAAATGGGTGGACTTCAACTCCCAGAATTCCCCAGGACAGCCTCAGAAAAAGTGCTTTATGACCTGTACTTGCACTTACGACTGTTGCAATTCTAGGAGTTGAAGTCCACCCATTTGAAAGCTGCCAACGTTGAGAAACACTGCACTACATACATATATGACAGGATTCAAAACCTTGCAATTTCACATGCTCCCATCAGGTTCTGTTCATGACTCTGATGCAGAGCACAACAGACTTATAAATATATTATTACATTTATTAACTAGCAACCAGGCTCTAAAGGGCCATTTCTGTTCAGAGTTCTGGGGGACAGGTTCTCTTGCAAGTGGAGGTTGTATTTTAAACTTCTGTTTTTTGGAATACTTTCACAGCACAGGTTTTAATGACTTAATACTGAACTGGGTAAGCAGCAAATTACATGTCGTTCTTGTTTGCAGCCTCCTGAACAGTATAGCTGAAACTTGTTAACAACATGCACAGAGAATTGGCTGCAGTTTTCTACTACCATAAAGATGATTTTAATGCTCAAACAAGACTGCCAGGAGCCTAATGACCATGGCCAGGAAATGGTTAAATGTATACAAGTCCCAGTATTTGCCTCAGAGTAGCAAACTGTGTAATCCATACTAAGTGGAAGATAATTGTCAACTAGAAATAGAAAAGGACATGATCATGTTTCAGTGTTGGAAATAGAAGCAATAGTGAAGTTAATAATTTGAAAGTCTCTTAGGCCTAAACATGGTAAAGTAAAAAAAAAAAAAAAAGGTGATGGAACAATAAGAATCACAGCGCTTTGGAATCTCATCATTATTGACAGTGCAGTATGTCTGCTCAGTGGCTATTGGTGAGGGAGCTTCAATTTGGTACAAGGGTATATGTCATTCAATTTTTATTCAAGGCCAATGAACCTTTTACATGTTGTTTTCTTCACCAGCAACTTCTTTCTATTCATTAACTGATCACAACTGTCCCATCTTCCTTAGAGACTGGGCTTCTGTTATATTTCTCAACAAAGCAAATAGTGTAGAGGGGAGAGAAAAATACTTCAAATAATCATTGGATTTGCTAAGTAGAATCAGAAGACGAAAGCATTCACAGGCACTCCATACTTCTGAAGGCTAAATCAGCAGTGGTTGATATTTTTTAATTCATCTCCATATTTTATTGCAAACAAGGAAACTCATGCTTCAGTATGAACAGTTGCCCACCCACACTAATTAGTCATCATTTATTTAATTTTCAGTTCTAAAACCATTTCAGACCCTCAGTTCCTGGTTTTCTGTAAGAAAAATCACCTTCTTCCACTCATTTTACAAATGACACTTTTTGTAAAAAATGTTTCAGACACAGGGGATTTCGATATAACCTTTTATTAAGCTGAAATCTTATATTAAAAACTCCCTCTAGAACACACAAAAATGAGCATAAATCTTGAGCAGTGTTTCACTTGAATTTCTCAGTCATAAGTTACAGTCAAAAGTACACCTGCAAATTCTCTTGCCTTGCCAGCTTTAATCTCTTGTGTAAGATTATTCTCTTGAATTACAGGAATATGTAGTGGAAATTGCACATAAGAGACATCTTGGACCCATTTCAAAATAAATAGACATGGATTTAGAACCAGCTTAAAAGTATGTACAGTTATGGAAGTTCATCCAGGCACCAGAAATGTTAGAGTTACAGCTCCTCCCTGTAATAGCCAAGTTTTGCTAGCGACATCTCTTTCCTCAGTTGCATTACTTCCCAAAACATCTGGTCCACTGCACAAAAGAAAAGGAGATGTTGTGGAAAAAATGCTTCCTTAAAAGTTCCAGTGAACAGAGGTATTTAGCAACATTAAACCTGAGTTTTCAGATACTAAAAACATTATTTAAATATAATATAGCTACTAAAAGGTGCTGATTAGCAAAAAAAAGATTAATGTGTTTTACACTGAGAACAGCTTCATGCCTAACCACTTTTGATTACTAGTGCATAGTCCATCATTCAGTTCATCTTTCCAACTAATTCAAAAATTTGGGAGGAATCTAATGACATGTCAAACTTTACCAACTGTACTATGTTAATTATATTATTTTCCCTGCCTTAAAACCATTTAATTACCTTTCAGTTACAAGATCTTGCTCACAAAGTATTTTTTTCTGTTTACATAAAAATATTTCCTTCTTTACTTCATCCTATCTTATCTTACAACTATTTGCAACTATTTAGTTTTTTTTTTTTAAAGATGCACATACAAGGACTCAGATAAGAACATCTAAAATTCAAAATAACATTTTCCACTACTTCATAACAGGTCTTAAAGTTTGGTAAAACATTAACACAAAATTAGAATTAACAACTGTGCATAAAGATGTAAAAGGTTATGACAGATTACTTAACTGATGTTTAATGATTTAAGGCTGAACATACCAAATCTTTTGCAACATTTTTTCATCTAACACGAAATACTGAGATGATGTAAAATAGACTTTAAGTGACAGTACTGTAATGATTCTTACATCTTTAAGCTGCCCAGAATCACCTTCTGGGGGAGATGGGCAGCATATAAATTTAATAATAAATAAAGAATCAATAAATCTTTAAGAATGTTTTATGAGTATAAGATAAAATTAGCTTGCATGCTTGAACCTAATTTTTAAAGAGTTGATGTAGTTTAATCCCCAAGAACAGTGAAAATGCATTCACAAAAAGATATAAAGGACTAGCAGAAAAAAAAAGAAAAGAAAAAATAGTGATGTATGTATTCTCTATATGCCCATTTCAGGGCAATGAAACGCTATTTTGGAATTTTGATACAGACAATCGGTCACAAAAAGCTGTAGATATATTTACATGAACCCCACTGATTGTCTAGAAATTAAAAGCTTAATTACATATTGCCCCTTTGAAATTTGCCCAAATGACTGTCAGCTTAATTATGAAAAATAAATTCTTACTAGCTGTATGCCATGTGGGAATGTGTAAAAGCAGCAAAGTAGGAGATTTGATATGCAGTTCCAGAGGCTGCAGGAGCATTACAACTTCCCCAGGTTCTCAACATATACAGCAAAAATACAGTTCTGGGAGTCATGGCCAAATATGAAAACCCAGAACCTTCTGCAAAAACATACCAGCCCTGCTAAGAAATACAGTACAAAACTTTCTTAGAATAGGCCTCATTCTTAACTTACCATCTTGCTGCTTTACAAGCCCCTGTTGAATATATCGAATGTATGTGAAGAAATTACATACTGATGTGATCTGTACAAAAGAAGGGGAGGGAGATAAAGAATTAGAATTCCACATGCTCAATTACCTGCCTGATCCAAATGCACAAACCATGGTTTAGAGCCCAACACTTACCCTATACCTACAGAAAGGAGAAATGTAATAATAGTTTCCTGAATCCCCCAGCTTGATTCTATGTCTGCAAGGTTTACTTTGTCCACTTAGAGCACATTTCCTGTCAACAGAATGGAAGAGTTTTAAAAGATGGGTTACGATTTAATTTACATGAATACTGAATTATGGTATAGTTGTTTACCAAAGAGCCTGTCATCTGTTTTTACACCATTGCTGACAGAAATCATTGTAAATTATAGTGTCTGTGCTGTTTTGACTTCAGCTTTTTTATTAAGGAAAAAAAAACAAGTTCTTTTAAATTCCTTAAGAGAGAACCTGCCTCCCAGAAATCATATTTCTCCAACACTTAACAAAGCTAAGAATAGCTGGTAGAGCTGTTGACTGTGGAATAGGCTTTCAGTTATAATTCTAAGTCAGGAGCAGCTGGAAGGATTCATGAGATCTGCTTCATAAAAGCAATGTGGTTTTTTCAATATGAACTATACAAAGTTTGTTCAACATTTTGTAAAGCAGTTAAAACCACACAGGTAAAATTTACAACTCCAGACAGAATTGCCCATTTGGGGTTTTGCAGTGCAGCTACCAAGTTCTTTTTAAAAAGTTTTTCTTCTAAGAGGAGCTCAACCATTCATGACTTAGACTCCTCCACATATAACACTTAGTTTGTTCTGGCTTAGCATCTCCTTTGAACCCAACCATGCTGGTTTGCAATGGTTTACAGTATAGTATAATGTATTAACTCAGCCGTAATGCTAGCCATATGTCCGTACAGAGGTAGTTTGATGCTCATCTCTAGTTACCTAGTGATAAGAAGTGCCACTTGAAACACTATTTGAAGCAAGCTTCTGATGCAATGGGAGGGCCATGTGGGAAATCAGAAAATGAGATGAGTGGAACTCCTGATCCTGGGGAAAAAGGAGGCTTCATTATGCCATAAAAAACGAAGGGGATGCAGCCAAGGTGGTGTGTAATTGGGAGGGGGAGGGAATAAAAGAGTGAAAACGTAGAAAGCACAGGAAAATATGGAGACAGGAAGAGGGGTCTTGAGCCTATTAACTGTCAGGGCCCTCTACAACAGGTCTGCAGGGCCTGGGATCCACAAAGATCTGTAGCTTCCCTTCCAAGTACTGGAGCATATCAGATGCCTGGCAGTAGTCCCAGGCAAGGACAAAATTAAGAAGATCATCAGTGCAAATAAATGTGCTTTATAACACATTTATGCAAGCCACTGCCATTATTTAAGGCAGGTGATAACAAAGTATTATTTCTTGGAGATAAAGATTTCAAATAAAAAGAAAGCTGCCATGCAAATATTAGAATATATGCCAGTATCTTCATCTATTTATTCTTGTTATAGTTATTTGCCTTACACGTAGAAGAACATGGATGCCACATAAAATATTGGAAAGATGCCAAAATTAAATTCATGGAAAGACATTCTTCCTTTTCACTACATAATTATTCTTAACCATACAGAATATTTAACCATAACCTCTAATTTAGCCTCAGAATCACCACAGTAAATGTTACTACAGCTCCCAGTTTTATTAAAAAAAGACACTAGACTGGCTATTAATCTAAACCCCATAAGCTAAGTTAGGACTCTTTAAGTAAGTCTGAGGATCACTGTCATCCAATCTCAATCTCTCGGATGGCACATCAGCTGCCATTGGCCTGGCAATACCTGTAGGGGCAATGACTTTCCCTCTATGTATAGAAGAAAATGGGGCTACATGGCTTTGTTGGGAAAGAAACAGGGTATCCTGTGGCTTTCCATGCAGCACTTGTGGGGTTTCTGATCTGTGGTAAACCTATGTTAGGGGGACGCGGTGGCACAGCAGCTTAATGACGCTGAAAGTTGCCGGCCAGAAATGGTCGA